TGCTCCCCATTTTCTGTGGCCGTTTGCGGTCAGGTACGCTGCGCACCAGATCAACCTCCACCCCAGGGTCTCTCGACTGGAGACCTCCCCAGCCCTGCTGTGGACGGGGAAGGTTGGCGATGCGTCGGCGTTCCGGGTCTGGGGATCTCGGGCGTTTGTTCGCGACCTGTCTGCGGACAAGCTGTCCCCTCGTGCTTCTCCCTGCGTCTTCCTGGGGTTCCCCCCCGACGCCCCTGGGTGGCAGTTTTACCACCCCACCTCTCGACGTGTTCTGTCCTCCCAGGACGTCACGTTCGACGAGTCGGTACCCTACTACCGCCTCTTCCCCTACCGCACTCCGTCCCTCCCCCCACCCCCGCTCTTCTTGGTACCAGGTCCCCCCCCGGTAGTCCCCCTCCCCCCTCAGGGTCCTGCCCCTTCAGGTGTGTCCCGGGTAGACGCGGTCGAGCCTGTCGAGGTCACTGGTGACTCTGGTGCTGCTGCGGGAGCTGAGCCTGGGGGTGCGGAGTCTGGGGGTGCTGAGCCTGGAGGTGCCGAGTCTAGGGGAGCTGAGCCTGGGGGTGCTGAGCCTGGGGGTGCTGTGCCTGGGGGTGCTGAGCCTGGAGGTGCCGAGTCTGGGGGTGCTGTGCCTGGGGGTGCTGTGCCTGGGGGTGCTGAGCCTGGGGGTACCGTGCCTGGGGGTGCTGTGTCTAGGGGTGCTGAGCCTGGAGGTGCTGTGCCTGGGGGTGCTTCGTCTCGCCGGGAGCCACTCTCCCCACAGGAGCTGCGTGAGTGGTTTGCCGGGCGCTGGAGGCGTGCTGCTGGTGCTGGTGGTTCTTCGGCTGCAGAGGGCACTTCTGCTGCGCGCCCCGCCGGCGCTCGTACTGTGGGTGCTGGAGCTGCTGAGTCTGAGAGTTCTCCTGGAGCTGGTCCTGCTGAGGGTGTTGGCGCTGAGCCTGCCGTTGGCGGCCCGACTGACAGTGCTCCTGGTGCTGCGGCTGGAGGTTCTGGAGCTTCTGGTGGTGCTGCTGGAGGTGCTGCTGGAGTGGGTGCTCCTGCCGGGGCTGCTGGTGCTGTTCCTGCTGTTTCTAGCGTCGCCGCGCGGCCCCGACCGTACTTCGTTCCGCTCCTGCAGCAGGTTCTTGGTCTTACACCTCCTCCTCCTCCCTTAGAGGGTCCGCAGCCTGTCCGGTCACAGCCACAGCTACAGCCTGCCTCCCCTTTGCCTGCTCCTTCTCCCTACGCTGGTCCGACTGGAGGTCTTACTGAGCGTCGTGAGCCTGCGTCTCGTCCTGTGTCGCCTGTTCGTACTGAGCGCGCTAGTGGTCGCGGGTCGCGTCAGCGTCCTCCTCCTGTCCCTGGCACGCACCGGATGTCACTGCGTCCGTCCACTGCTCCTCTGCGTGCCCCTTTGCCTTCTCCTCCTGCTTCCTCTCTTCCTGCTCTTGCCGACCCGGAGTCGGACGCTCTTCGTGCTGCCAGTCCTACTGTCACGCGTCTCCTGGCTACTGCTGTCACTGACCCCTCCTTCGAGTCGTCTGCTGCGTCTGCCCTTGTCACTGAGCTTGTCGACTTTGCTGCGCGCTGTCGTCTAGACTACGCTGCTCGTCTTGTCACTGAGTCTGAGTCCGCCTGTCCTCCGTCCGTCGGGGGTGAGTGTGCCCTTGGCACGGACGTCCTTGAGGACAGGCAGGAGGAGTTCCAGTGTCTGGCCGCCGCTTCACCTCGTCTCGCGTCTGTACTGCTAGCCCCTGAGGGAGACCCGGATGCACCAGACATCCCGACTCCGCGCTCTTACGCGGAGGCGATAGAGGGTCCCTACTCCTCTCAGTGGCAGGCAGCTATGGATGCAGAGATGGCTTCCTGGAAGTCCACAGGCACCTACGTTGACGCTGTTCCCCCTCCTGGGGCGAACATCGTCAGTGGCATGTGGATTTTCAGGGTGAAGCGGCCGCCGGGTTCTCCGCCTGTCTTCAAGGCGCGTTACGTGGCTCGTGGCTTCAGTCAGCGGCAGGGGGTGTGACTACTTTCAGACCTTCTCCCCCACCCCCGAAGATGACCACTCTTCGGGTTCTGCTACACGTTGCTGCTCACCGTGACTACGAGCTGCACTCTCTCGACTTCAGCACAGCTTTCTTGCAGGGCAGCCTGCACGAGGAGATCTGGCTGCGTCGCCCACCTGGCTTCACTGGGTCTTTCCCTCCTGGTACCCAGTGGAGTCTCCGGCGTCCAGTCTACGGTCTCCGCCAGGCGCCACGTGAGTGGCACGACACACTGAGGACTACGCTCGCGGCACTTGGGTTTGCTCCTTCCACTGCCGACCCGTCGCTGTTTCTGCGCACCGACACCTCTCTGCCGCCGTTCTACATCCTCGTGTACGTCGACGACTTGGTCTTTGCCACAGCTGACACTGCTGGACTCGCCTACGTGAAGTCCGAGCTGCAGAAGAGACACACGTGCACTGACCTGGGTGAACTGCGCAGCTACCTTGGCTTGCAGATCACCCGGGACAGAGCACGCCGCACCATTACCCTGACTCAGTCACACATGGTGCAGCAGGTCCTTCAGCGCTTCGGCTTCACGTACTCCTCGCCTCAGGCCACTCCTCTGCCTACTCGCCACTCGCTCTCAGCTCTGCCTTCGGATGAGTCCGTAGAGTCGAGTGGCCCGTTTGCAGAGCTTGTTGGCTGCCTCATGTACCTGATGACATGCACACGACCTGACCTCGCATACCCTCTTAGCATTCTCGCACGCTTTGTTGCTCCTGGGAGACACCGACCAGAGCACATGGCTGCAGCGAAGAGGGTGTTGCGCTACTTGTGCAGTACGTCGGGCATGGGGCTAGTGCTTGGAGGGCGCAGTCCAGTGGTCCTCACTGGGCACGCAGACGCTTCTTGGGCTGACGACCAGGCTACGCAGCGGTCGTCACAGGGTTACACCTTCAGCCTTGGTTCCGGCTCTGTCTCGTGGCGGGCTACCCGCTCGTCTTCTGTTCTCGGCTCCAGTTGTGAGGCTGAGATCTACGCTGGGGCTATGGCTGCACAGGAGTTACGCTGGCTCACCTACCTGCTGACCGACCTTGGAGAGCAGCCTCGTTCTCCTCCAGTCCTGTACGTAGACAACAAGGCCATGCTGGCCTTGTGTCGAGAGCAGCGACTGGAGCACAGAACGAAGCACATTGCTCTTCGCTACTTTCTTGCTCGTGAGCTACAGCAGCGTGGACAGCTGCGACTTGCGTACGTGGCCTCTGAGGCCAACACTGCTGATGTCTTCACCAAGGCACTTGCTCCTTGTGATCATCAGCGTTGCTGCACGCAGTTGGGTCTTGTGCCTGTCTTGCCTCACTTGCTCTCCTCTTGACCTTGCTTGTACTTTCGCATATATATACTCTTGCTCTTGTATATCTCTATATATGATCTTGCATGTAAACTGGCCTTGTGGCCTTTGAACTTGTGCTCGGAATGCGTGGTGACTTTGTGATCCACCCTGAGCTTTGCTTTGCTTTGCTTGACTGGTCTTGTGACCCCTTGTTCTCCCCCACTTTGCCTATGGGGGTGTGTCAGAACTTATAGCTTACTTGTTTCTGTAGGCTATAGTGGGGTATCCCATAGGGGGTACAACCCAATTAGGGTTTCCTATTTGTACTCACTTCGTTCATAGTCATTTCATTCTCGTTCTTTGTTTCCACAATATCTGTGCAGTGCATGCGAAAAAATGCCAAGTGTGTGGGTGGGGTCTCTTGAATCACGGGAAGGGTACAGATTGTACATGCGTACCCTATCACCCCCCCCCCCCCCCCCCCCCCCCCCCCCACACGCGGTCAACTCCGTTTAAGTGTGACTCACGTCACTATACTGATTCGTCAGTGTTTCTTGTAAAGAAACACGCAAAATGGTCAGTGTGACAAGGTAGGATATACTGAAATTTCAGTGCAAAATTGAAGCATATGCTGAATTTTCAGGGAAAACGAAAATCACAGCTACAAAATCAGCGTAATCAGCGTGTTTTACGCTGATATCTGAGGGCCTGACTGGGACGATAAAAGCATACAAATACATTCGTATGAATATGTGTATTGGGGAATACGAAACGACCTAACCAGCCATGTACTCTAAGGGGTACGCTCCCTTATCACAATGAAATCCAACCTTGCGACTCCAGAAGGTTACGAACTGTTCCCGCAGAATCCTCGCCACTTCAGTTGTCCGATGTTGTCTGCCTTGACAGTCCAGATCCTTCGTAACCGTAGGCGACCTTTCTCGTAATCTTGCCTTTTCGTCTTCGTACTCCTTCCTGTGTGTCTAGCTTGCTATTGTCAGGAGTGCACAGTACTTTTCATCTTTTACTATTCGTAATAGGAAATTATTTTTGAAATCGTTATAAATGAGCAGCAATTTTCATCGCATTAAATCAAGCTTGGGCATGTAGAAACCCATGAGTATCTGTTATAATGGGAAGCATTGAATACAATTTAGGACAACGGTAACACTTGAATGCAAGATTTTGAATCAACAACACAGAAAAGTGCAAATTATGTTGTATACTATTCCAGGTTGGAGGATTTTGCAAAACTTACTGTGGTGACAGCGGACAAGGTCTTGTAATGAGTTCCCAAGGTGCCTGGTGCTCGCTTGGGATTGCCTTGCCTTGCCGTATCACTTAGGTGGACTTCTCGGCCAGTGATCAGTTAGGGAAAGCACGTCGCAACCCTTCCAGCCCGCGTATAATACTTCTCGCAAAACCAGCTAAGTGGGAATTCCTAGGTTCTGACCTGAAGTTTGTGTGGAATCCTGTATTGAGCTGAGGATTATCAGCTAAACAAATTACTTCTTACATTCTTGCATTGCTCGCGCATCGGTTTCCTGTTAGCTTCACGCTGCCGTTGAATCGAACTTCGTTAGATTGAGCGGGCCCATCACATCTTGTTTCTATTCATGGGTCGTCGCGTGCGATCAGCGTTCGCTCTCACAATGCATGTGTAGCCGGAGTCACAGTGCTGGCTGATCAGTCGCCGAGTCACAATGACGATCAACGCGGTGCTCGAGGCGGACCTGCGCTCCATTTCCGCTGAGGCTCGCCGGCGATTCCCCGCCGTGAAGGACGCCGCGGAACGTGGAATCCTCAAGGTGTGCTGCATGGATTGGCTCAGCTGATCCAGTGCTCTCACTTCCAGCTGTCGTGTTCCCCGTGCTGGCTTCTGAGGCTGCTCAGGAAGTTCTTTGTGCTAAGATGTTGTGCCTCTGGCATTTGCCTTTTACTGACATGAACCGCTTCCTTTCCTGCTGCGCCCTCCTTGCCATTACTCAGCTGCGTTCTCTGGCAGGTCCCGAAGCCATTTCAAGAAGTGATGAATTATTGCGAATCTTCCTGCTGGCGTGCGACACAAGGCAGCCGCGGCTGTGCGCCTTGGGATTGTCGTGCGTGCAGAAGCTGGTGGCCAACAACGCAGTGCCGCCTGCTGCCTTACCTGATATATTGACCACGCTCAGAGAGGTGAATCACGGCGCTCCCTAATTCACACGGTTTGCAGATATGCAAGCCAGTCGTTAATCACTCCACAACGATGCAAAGCTCTTTGACCCGCACTCTTGCAGTGATGCGCCACATTCTGACTGTCATTTCTTGCACTGACTGACATTTACAGCAGAGATCCAACTGACGGTGCTTACACTGATGCAGCGTATCCTGACTGGCGTGTGCTGTAGTCCTCGACTGGAAGTTCCTGCACTGGTGCATCTCATGATCTCATTTGGCTAGCATTTGGCTTTCTGACCCGCATGTCTTGCAGTGATGCATCAATGACATATGTCCTCCTGACTGACTCTGATCCGAGTGACATTTGGTACAGTCATGCATCAATCCTGACTGAAATTGCTTGCAGTGCTGACATTGGAATGCACAGCTTGCAGCAAATCAGGATGTCTGCCTTACATATCAAGTAACCTGAAACCTATGCAGGCAACGGTGTGCAGAGCATTGAATTCACGGTGCTGGCTGTAGAACGGTTGGTTGACGTACATTACTGATGCGGCTGTGGTGCAGGCATCCACTTTCAGCTCGCTGGCAACGCTAGTCAGCCCTGTCTGCACCTGTCGTCCATTCCAATCTGCTACGCCCTCGTCTTGCCTTAGTGTGTTCATTCCTCCCCCCTGCGTGCCCTCCCCAGCACGCGGACGGGTCAGAGGAGGCGGTGCAGCTGAAGGTGCTGCAGACAGTGCTGACAGTGCTGCAGTCGCAGCTGCACCCCAAAGATGAGGTGCGCTGCTATGCCATGCCATTGCCACCCCTCACTCTCATGGCGAGGTGGGGTCTGTATGCTTGGTGAAAAGTGTTTCACGGATGCATTTGGATGAGAAGAACGAGTAGCATAAGGCATGGATGCAAGCACTGGGACATGCATGCATGCACACGGTCAGGAGCTCGGCATGTTGCATACAAGGTTGACACAGTGCTCTCGTCAAGTCTGTAGTCACATGCGTGCACCACCAACTTCGTCCATGCATGCGCCCATCTCCCCACCATGTGTGCAGGAGAGCATGGCCATCATCCTTGGCATCTGCCTTCGCCTGGCAGGCAGCACTCGGCAGCTGGACTGTGTCCACAGGTAGGGAGACGGATGTTCTTGTGTGCTCGTGTGTATGGCTTCTGAATGCATGCTGTCGCAACCACGGGCTTGCAATGTTGTCCTGACCCTGCTGCTGCACTCTATCTTCGCACATTCACTCCCTCCCCCTCAACCCAACCCGCGTGCATGTGCGTGTACGTGTGCGTGATTGTGTCTGTGCGTGCATGTGTGCATGGCAGCACGGCCACAGCAACGCTGCGGCAAGCCATAGCGCTCATCTTCGACAGAGCTGCCAGCAGCGAGGGCCTGCCGGTGCAATGTGCCCCGCGCCAGGCCAACCGTGTGTGGAACACCTCCGAGCCGGGTGACATCAGCCGCATCGTCATGGCCTCCAGGTGAGCCCGCTGGTGGGCACCATTGGCATGCCATTTGAGAGTACTTGCCATAACATTTATGCTGGCACATGAACCCGTGGCAGGGCGACGGAGGGCGAGGGGGCGGGGCGGGGGGGGGGAGAGGAGCTGGAGACGGTGGTGCTCAAGGAGCGCGTGGACGACCTCTCACCCGCAGCCCGCATGGGCCTCCGCCTGCTCGAGGACCTCGCCGCTCTCGCTGCGGGCCAACAGGTGCGCACCGGGCAGGGAGCTTCAGCAGGGCAGCGTCGTAAGGGGCGGGTGGGAGGGGGGGGCTGCTGGTAGAGCGGGAGCTGGGAGGGAAATATACTTGAAAAGGGATGTTAGCGTCAGATCAGATGTGATTTGCGCATTGCAGTGATGCAGTTTCCTCTCTTCTGCTGATCTCGTGGCAACCACTTGAATATGTGTGCCCTGTGCCCCCACTCTCCTGCACCTTTCCCACATGGCAGGCGCAGTGGCTGCACGTGCCATCACTGCAGCGCACGTTCGCCCTGGAGATGCTGGAGTACGTCGTGTCGCACTATGCCACGCTCTTCCGCCGCCTCACTCCCTACCAGCAGGTCAGCCATGCTCCCTGCCGTGCTACCATGCATGGGCTGCGCCACTCGTGAGGCATCATCAGTCAACAACATTCTACCTGTCTCACTGCAGCTTATTTTCCGAATCGCGTGGATTGCACGAGCACAAGATTGAATCAGGAAATTTGCAGGAGGTTTACCAGTAACGTTTCGCACTACTCCAGTTGCATGACTCCAAATCAATCGAGCACTGCTGTTGTAAACTTAATGAATGAGCCTCACAATATGGGCCCCGAGCTTCAATCCACAATATTTTTTTTCCTGGTTTCCGAATTTCCCTTGCATCCACGTTCCTGTCCCTTCGCTCCCTCTCCACCTCTGGTGTGCCCCACCAGGTGCTGCAGCACAAGCTCTGTGCACTCGTGATGACGTCACTGCGCTCCACAGGCTCTGAGGTGAGTGCCATCGTGTGAATGCTTCTGCATATCGTGTCGCAGCACTAGCAATTGCCGTATCACCTAATCTTTTCTCCGTGTACATGGGGTGGCGTGGCAACATCAGGAGGGGGATGTGGGCGAGCCAGGGTACCGGCGGTTGGTGCTGCGCTGTGTGGCCACTCTCGTGCGGCAGCACCACGCTCAGCTCACCACTGAGTGCGAGGTGAGGGCACTGGGACGCGCATGCGGCCTGTAGCCATGGCACTTGTTGACCCTTCTTTCATTGCTGCTTCTCTTCCGTGTGCTCGGCCTCATCGTTCTTCCCAACCCTCGGCCTCATCGTTTTTCCCGAGCACCTGTTATCCCGAGCAGGTGTTTCTGCTGATGCTGGTGAAGAGCGTGGACCAGGACCTGCCTCTCTGGCACCGCATCCTCGTGCTTGAAGTGCTCCGGGTATGCGCCACACCACACCGCGCCCTCTTGTTAGATGCGACGGGTAGGCTATGCCAGCTAATGATTGCTTGGCCACTCAAACCCGGTTGCCAGCATGCTTTTTGAGAAAGTGGTTGCGGTAGGCCCTTCACCTGTCCCAGTGCAAACGGTCACTACATCTATGTGCAGATGAGTGGAAGATGGAGGGCATGTTATGGTGGCTTCATTCCGTGTGATTGCATTGCTAACTTGACACTTTCACGCGCGTGCGTGCGCTCATCTGCATGCAGGGCTTCTGCGTGGAGCCAGGGACCCTTCAACTCATATTCAACCTGTTTGACATGTGAGTGCTCTCACCCTGTTCCGTACATGAGGAATTTCACCTTGTGATGCGAAAAGCTCATTGTTTGGCGTGTAAGAGCAGGTTCCCGGCAGGTTCATGCGTGCCAGTGGTACTTGTGTCAGCATATCATCAGATTTAGTGTTCACGGTCGCTTAAAAATGTAACTACTGAAGGATTAAATGATCTCTGATTATAGTTATTCTGGGCGAGGTAGACTTCTGCGCACTCCTGGAAGTACTTCAAACAGCACATTCAACTTCTGGAATTCTTGTTTCCGTCGTTTTCTCTGCGAACGTCCACTTCCTTTGCTCTTCCCCCCCTGAGCGTGGCTGTTGCGTGTGTGTCAGGCAGCCGGGCAACAGCAGCATAGTGGAGGAGATGGCAGTGGCGCTGGCCCACGTGGTGCAGAGCGTGCAGGTCTGCTGCTGCGCTGCTGCCCTCATGCACTCGGTCGTTGATAACACCCATTGTCACCACACACATGTGCCACCATGCTGACATGGTCTCAGCAGCACATCACAACCAACTTCTTCCCCTATGACCATCATCCCCACCTCGTTGTGAAACTTCCCACAATGACTCTCCTTTTTCTCTCATTGTCATGAACACTCCAATCCTCGCCCCTCCTTATTTCCTCATGTATGTGTGTGTGTGTGTGTGTGTGTGTGTGTGTGTGTGTGTGTGTGTGTTGTGTGTGCGTGTATGTGTGTGTGTGCGCGCGCACGTGCGTGTGTGCATATACATGTATGCATGTGTGCTTGCACTTTGGTGTGCGCGTGCATTCATGTGCATTTGTTTGTCTCATGCGTCACAGGTGCCAGAATCCAGTGAGGAGAGTCTAGCTGCAGTTGCCGGCATGTTCAGCAGCAAGGCCAGAGGTGATTCTCCCTTTGCTCTTCGCCGTTGCATCGTCTCCCCCTGTCAGCAGGCTAGCTTGGTAATGCATGTCTGTGTGCCTTGTGGTTGGGGGCAGCAGGGGTGGAGTGGTCAATGGACTTTGACTGGGCGGGCAACGCAGTGGTGGCGGCGAGTGAGGCGCACGCCATAACGCTGGCGGTGGAGGGGCTGCTGGGCATCGTCTTCACCATCGCTCTGCTCACCGACGAGGCCATGGATGACTCACACCCGTATTCCGCCTCACCTCCCAAGTCCCCTCTCGCACCGCGCAAGCAACCTGATGCTCAGGCCGTTGCCCAGGGCGGTGGGGCTGCTGCAACAGACGGTGCTTCAGGGGTTGGTGGGCGCCAGGGCGAGGAGGGGGCATCACCTGTAAGCCCTCCCTCCCCACGGGTGCCAGGCAAGCACGCTGCCTTGCTGGCTGAGTCCGACTCCCATGCGCCCTCCCCAGGGCTCACTCGCGGCCTGCTGGCCCTGCTGGGCGGCATGCAGGAGGAGGGCGATGGGAGCGAGTGGGTGAAGAAAGGAGCTCAGGATGATGAGGATGCGGAGAGCAGGGGCGGCAGTGCAGAGGGGCGGGTGCGCGGAGCACTGGAGGAGCTGTGTGTGCGCATGGTGGATGCCGTGTGGAAGACCGTCCTCGATGCTCTCTCCATCATTCTTGCCCGGTCTGTGCCCTTCCCTGCCCACTCACAAACACAGAGCTGCTTACAGGCACACACCAATTGAGCACACGCTATCTATGCGCACGCCACCATTTTCGAATGCACCAAGTATTTCGCTTATCTATGCCCAGTTGTGTAGGCGGTTGCTCAATGCATGGCCCATCCATGTAAGCTACTCTGTTCATCTGTTTCCCCCCTGTATCTGCAGGTCACAGGGTGAGGCTGTCATTCTGGAGATTCTTAGGGCATACCAGGCGTTCACCCAGGTGAGATGAGATGAGGTGAGGGCATGTGACGCTTTTAACAAGGTAAGATGAGGGCATCTGTAGCTTCTACCCAGGTGAGGTGAGGATGCACCAGGTGGTTGCTGATGCTATAGTTTCCTGGCCAGACACTGCCTCTTTGTTGCCTTGCTCCGTGCACTCACTTCCTCTTCCTCCGCATGCCCCAACCACCCTCATTTCTGTGGCCACCAGGCATGTGGCGCGCTGGACCTGGTGGACCCGCGGGACGAGTTCCTGGCATCGCTGTGTCGCTTCACCCTCGTGGCCTCGCCATCCATGAGCACCATGGCGCCACCCGGCCAGCCCTTTGACTCCGACCGCTTCCAAATGCCCTCCTCCCCGTCAAGGTAAGTGCACTCGGTTGCCATGCTCATCCCATGCACTCCTCTCTCTCCGTTGCACATCAGGGCCACTACGCCATCACTCCATAACACCCTCGCGCATCACCACCAAACGCCTCTGCAAATGCCACAAATTTCAATGTGATTCTGTATCATTTGAGCCTTACACTCTTCACGGTTCATGAAAGGACGTTGACTTGGTGGTATGTGCATGCAGTGCGTACTTGTCGCCCATGAGGTCGCTGGATGCACTGCTGGGCACGGAGTCACGGGGGGACCTGCTCGCCTCCACCATGGGCTCCGCTGCTGCCGCCTCTGCTGCCGCCCTGGGGCAGGGCGTGCCCGTGCTCACACCCAAGAACATGCACGCCCTGCGCACGCTCTTCAATGTCTCCCACCGCCTCTGCGCCGTGCTTGGACCGTCCTGGGAACTGGTGTGTGCCCATTTCCAGCTTGCACCATCGACCTGTGCCTAGTGTTGTGCCCACTCTATATTCGCCCAGTTACGCATGACATGTTCCACCATGGCATGTTCTATCAAAGCCGACTTGTGCTCCTTGCCATGTTATGCCCCCGTGCCCTGTGCGTCACGTATCATGTTGCCCCTCACACCAGGTGATGGAGACTCTGGCTGCCCTCGACCGCACCATCCATTCGCCATATGCCACCAGCCAGGCATGTAACATGACCACGGATGTCGCATGGCCAGGCATGTAACATGACCACGGATGTAGCATGGCCAGGCATGTAACATGACCACGGATGTCGCATGGCCAGGCATGTAACATGACCACGGATGTAGCATGGCCAGGCATGTAACATGACCACGGATGTCGCATGGCCAGGCATGTAGCATGACCACGGATGTTGCATGGCCAGCCATGTAGCATGACCACGGATGTCGCATGGCCAGCCATGTAACATGACCACGGATGTAGCATGGCCAGGCATGTAACATGACCACGGATGTAGCATGGCCAGGCATGTAACATGACCACGGATGTAGCATGGCCAGGCATGTAACATGACCACGGATGTAGCATGGCCAGGCATGTAACATGACCACGGATGTAGCATGGCCAGGCATGTAACATGAACATGGATGTAGCATGGCCAGGCATGTAACATGACCACGGATGTAGCATGGCCTGGCATGTAGCATGACCACGGATGTAGCATGGCCTGGCATGCAGCATGGCAGGCATGTAGTGCTGTGAATGTTGTGCACGTTATGAGGTGAAGGGCATTGCTGCACTGCCTGTATTTTCAGGAGTGTCCATGTGGCATCAGTATGGAAGGTGAGGTACCACTCCAGTATGCATGCAGTGATGTGATGCCACCAGACGTGCATGTGCGTGGTGTGGTGGTATGCAGGACGTATCAGCATCAGCATCAACGCCATCAGCAGGGTCGCGCGGGTCCAAGGAGCTCACAGGCGCGCCCTCCTCACTGCAGTCCGACTTCTCCGTGCTCGCCACCCTCGATGCACAGGTACGTATCCTTGCCACCACGTCCTTAACGTGCCACCGTTACTGCTCACGTACGTTTACTTGCATGCCAGCCATTAGTCAGTGAGTTCACTTGTTGCCACCCCATCCACCCATGCCGTCATGGCACCACCGCGACACTGCCCGCCACCAGCTGTTCCAGAGCACGGCCCACATGGACACAGCGGCCGTGCTGGCCCTGCTGGCGGCCCTGCGGGTGGTGTCCAACCGCGCGCTGCACTCCGTCACCACCGGCCTCGGCATCGCTGCCTCGGGGTCCTCCGCTGCTGCTGCCGCCGCTGGCACGTCTGCTGCTGCTGCGGCGGTGGCGTCGCCTCTGAGCACGGGTGCGCTGCCGTCGACGCTCAAGATGTTTGCGGTGGAGCGCATGCTGTCCGTGCTCTCCCACAACATGCACCGTGAGTCCTGCCCCGTTCAGAAGCACAGTGTGGTTCATGGTTGGATTACACAAGCATTGTGTTCATCTCACAGTCGAGGGTCACTGTGGTTCATGATCGCATCACTCTGGCTGTATGATCCTGCATTGCACCGTGCCCGCTTGTGCCTCATTCGTTACAGGAATGGACCTTATATGGGATGCCATCCTGCTGCACCTGCTGGAGGTATGCACCGCTTCCAACTCACATAAATACTTGTTCTCTTTGACGCACACCCTCCCCTTAATCAAGTCTTCTCGACCAGCTTAAGTGTCCACCTTTTTGTTCATATCACAGCTCTTCCCCTGAACCGATTCTGTCTCCCGGCCGTCCCCTCTCACGTGTGTGTGTGTGTGTGTGTGTGTGTGTGTGTGTGCACAGCTGGCGGTGCACGAGAGCGCTGGCGTGCGGGCGGTGGCGGTGGACGCCATCGACCGCGCCGTCATGGCCGCCCTCGCCTCGCCCCCCCTGCACCGCCGCTCGTCCACCTCCTCCTCCTCCGCCCTCACCTCTGCCACACCGACCGAGGAGCAGAAGGGAGAAGGGGCTTGTCGGACAGAGGGAGGGGAGGGAGGAGAGGAGAGGGAGGGGCAGAAGGGGGAGGGCGAGGGGGAGGGGCGGGGAGAGGTGGCGCTGGAGGAGATGGTGGTGGGCGCTGTGAGCTCCCTGTGGCGCGATGGGCGTGATGCAGAGGTGAAGGCAGGCGCACTGCGCATCCTGCTGCACATGCTGGAGGTGAGTCCAGGGCATACCTGTAACCGATTTCACAGAGCACATTTCGCAGCTGTGCTCTTCCTCTCTCATTCCAACCCTACTGCTGTGATGGGCAGAGATGGCCTGGAACAGGTGGGGGTGTGGCAAGTTTGATGAGTTGAGGGGGAAAGGGTGAAGGGAAAACTGTGGCATACAACAAAGGTGGCTAGCTAGGCAAGGAGCATCACCACCGATAGTTCATTAGGGACGGCTGGCAGCTAATCTTAAACCTGAAACCGCAGAGCCGCGGGTTTGAGGTTGTTGTTGGTGGTCGCGTGTTCAAGCCATGCGTTTCGTGGTCCACTAGCACGTCGCCCAGGGGGATGAGGCACGGGCCTGTGCTGGCTCAGGGGTGGATCGCTCCTCCACTTGCCTGGCTGTGCTGGAGCAAAAGCGTGCAGCTGCGGTGGGCTCTTGTTCTCTTTCTCCCGACTCTCTGTGTCTATCACTGATGCCTTGTGTGTCATCCCTCTCATGTGATCATTTCCGTTTTCTTCCTGCCTGCCTGTCTGCAGCGCCATGGCGAGAAGCTGCACTCCACCTGGCCCACTCTTCTCAACCTCCTAAGGTGGACATTCCTGCTGGGGCCACGCAGTGTTGCTGCTGGGGTCACACAGTGCTGTTGCTGCTGGGGACAACTGATGAGCTGACAGTGTTGTCAGCAACTATTGTTGTTCAATCTTCAACTGTCATTTGCCAGCGCTATTCATGCTATTATGACAACCCTTCCCACAACGTTCCATTCCACACCGTGCCATGCCATGCCATGCCAATGCGATGCCATGCATACACAGGATGGTAGCAGCAACGAATGACAAGGACCTCGTGGGCCTGGCCTTCCAGGTGGGCTCTGCTGCTCATGTGTTCCCCCTCCTTCCTTGCTTTGCTGGGCCCACTGTCCATGGATGCTGCCACTTTGGCTATCTACAAGCTGAGTTACGCTGGGTGTGGAGCAGGCACTTGAAGGTTGCATAATTGTGTGCCCCTGACTGCTTGTGTGGCGTGCAGAGTGAGCTGGTGGTGGTCAACGACTGCCTCTCCTCCATTCCGCCACACACCCTTCAATTGTCAGTCTCCAACACAACATCGTGCAATGCCACTTTAACACAGCGTACATGACATGACACGCTGTCTTACAACATCCACATGCCTGTCATCCACATCTCACACTCTTTTGTCCCCATGCCTCTTCACTTGCCATGCCACATCCTGGATGCCTCTCTTGTGCGCTCTCAACCTCAACCAATGCATCACACCGCTGGCCCATGCTGCAACAGACCCCCTTTGCCGGATGTGCTCCACTGCAGTGCTGCCCATGATTGGATTGCACCTGTTCTGCCCACCCACGACCACTTATATCTTGCAGAATATATGATGCCCCTCCTTCCAATCCCCCCCGTCGCTGCGCACCAGGTGTGTGGAGGTGGTGGGGGCGTTTGCGGGGCAAGTGGCGGATGTGAACATATCTCTCACGTCCGTGGGGCTGCTCTGGACCATGGCTGACTTCTTTGCTCGCGGCCTCGACCATGCCACCACCACACACCGCACTGCCACCTGTGAGACCACACTGCACTACGACTTACCTGGACTTTCTTTTTCTTTTTTCCCAGGCCGTTGGCCTCACTGTTACATGCCTGACCTGACTCTGTTCTGGGCCTCATAATATACTGTCTTCTCAGGTTGCCAGCGTCCATGCCTAGGAGTTAGCCCTTCATCCCTAGACGAGTCTCTTCCGAGCTTTGAGGCTTGCACCATCTGAACCTGAAAGGAGCCACTACTTTGTGACAAAGCAGAGGCTTCTCCCTCACTTATATATATAGTGCTCCCAGCTTCCCTCACGCTTTCTTTTACTCTTCCCAACCCCCCACTTCTCCAGTTTCCACGCTACTCAACCAGTGCGATCTCCCCGCCTCCTCCTCGACATCCTCTGCAGCGCCCCCTCTCTCCTCCGCCTCCGCTGCCACATCGCTTCCATCGACGGCACCAGCAGCGGCAGCATCGGCACTGAAGCTGCCAGCGTCAGCCACGCCCTCCACCTTCACTAGGATCCACAGAAAACCAGCTCACACAGATGCAGGGGGGGCCAAACGGGGAGAGGGGGCTGAAGGAACGGATGTGGGGGGAGCGCAGGGGAGGGGATCCGGCAGCGGGAGGATGCTGGACGAGCGGAGCAGCGCACTGCTGCTGGCGGTGCTGTGTGTGATGGAGACGCGCGCCAAGGACGGGCGGCCGGAGGTGCGCAACGCGGCCATGCGCACGCTGTTCCAGACGGTGGTCAGCCACGGCGCCAAGCTGCCGCCCGCCTCGTGGCGCCACTGCCTCTGGGACCTCATCTTCCCCCTCATCGACTCCGTGCGCTCCCTTGTGAGTCCCTGCGCGCCCTTGTGAGTCCCTGCACTCCCTTATTAGTGAGTGGTGGTCGGCTTATGAATACAGTCAGCCCCAAGCAACATCAACCAAGGCAGTCTCTATCACAGTGCAACACAGCTGCAGCCACATGCCTGTCAGTGTCGCAGCAGTTGCCCACATGCTTTGCTCTCACTTAGCCCTTTTCTCGTCTCATCTGCCCTGCAGGCAGCCACGGCATCGAGAGACGAGGCGCCGGGGATGGAGATAGGGCGGCAGGGGGGGAGGAGTGTGATGATGCTGGTGCACCACAGCCGCAACACGGCGCAGAAGCAGTGGGACGAGACGCTCGTCATGGCTCTCAATGGACTCGCCCGCCTCATCCGCGCCTTCTTCTCACTGCTGCATACCATGGACAATTTCCGGGAAGGTGCACATGCATCAGTAGTTGGCTTGGCACTGCATGCAAAGCTGTTCCTTGTGCCCCCGCCCCTCCTTTGTGAGACCAGTAAGCGAGGCCGCCGCTTTCATTCCAACTGATTTATTTTCATTCCTCTTCTCCACCAGCTTTCCCATTGCTCCTTCCAAACCGTCTCCCCATGCCCATTCTCCCACTCGTTGCCATGGTGGAGGCAGTGTGGGGTGCACTGCTGCAGTTCGTGGAGGAGGGCGTGCTTACCGGCAGTAGAGAAGTCAGTTCTGCTGCTGCCAGCACTCTGCAGACCATCATGCTCACACATGCCACCAAGGTGAGCATCATGCTCACACATGCCACCAAGGTGAACATCATGCTCACACATGCCACCAAGGTGAGCATCATTCTCACACATGCCACCAAGGTGAGCATCATTCTCACACATGCCACCAAGGTGAGCATCATTCTCACACATGCCACCAAGGTGAGCATCATTCTCACACATGCCACCAAGGTGAGCATCATTCTCACACATGCCACCAAGGTGAGCATCATTCTCACACATGCCACCAAGGTGAGCATCATTCTCACACATGCCACCAAGGTGAGCATCATTCTCACACATGCCACCAAGGTGAGCATCATTCTCACACATGCCACCAAGGTGAGCATCATGCTCACACTATGCTATGTGCGACATGGCTATGTGCGACATGGCTATGTGCGACATGGCTATGTGCGACATGGCTATGTGCGACATGGCTATGTGCGACATGGCTATGTGCGACATGGCTATGTGCGACATGGCTATGTGCGACATGGCTATGTGCGACATGGCTATGTGCGACATGGCTATGTGCGACATGGCTATGTGCGACATGGCTATGTGCGACATGGCTATGTGCGACATGGCTATGTGCGACATGGCTATGTGCGACATGGCTATGTGCGACATGGCTATGTGCGACATGGCTATGTGCGACATGGCTATGTGCGACATGGCTATGTGCGACATGGCTATGTGCGACATGGCTATGTGCGACATGGCTATGTGCGACATGGCTATGTGCGACATGGCTATGTGCGACATGGCTATGTGCGACATGGCTATGTGCGACATGGCTATGTGCGACATGGCTATGTGCGACATGGCTATGTGCGACATGGCTATGTGCGACATGGCTATGTGCGACATGGCTATGTGCGACATGGCTATGTGCGACATGGCTATGTGCGACATGGCTATGTGCGACATGGCTATGTGCGACATGGCTATGTGCGACATGGCTATGCATCCCACCACCATCCATGCTGACCTTACACTGCTGCCTTGCCCCACCAGCCGCACCTTACACTGCTGCCTTGCCCCACCAGCCGCACCTTACACTGCTGCCTTGCCCCACCAGCCGCACCTTGCTGCATGCCTGAGTTTGCTGCATGTGTGACTCCACCCCTCCCACCCGTCCCCCACGTGTCATGGAGGCAGGGCAGCATCCCGCGGCACTACTGGGACAGCAGCATGGATGCGTATGAGCTGCTGCTGCGTGACAGCACCGCTCCCGCGTCCGCAGTGGCGGTGCGCACGCGGCAGAAGCTGGTGGAGGACCTGGGCGAGGTGTACAGCACGGCGGGCCTCGCCTTTGAGGACAGCGACTACCTGCGCCTGCTCGCCTGCGTTGACGTCATGGCGCGCTGCCCCGTGCTGCCCTCTGAACCCCCTCCCCTCGCCGTACGCCCTGCATGCCCCCTCTGCCCTCCATGCTGTCTTGACACCCGCCTGTGCTTTTGACTAACATGCATGTGCCCACCACCAACCTCATATTGGTGTCAGCGTCGTTCGTTCTTTTGACATCCGCATCTGCTCCATGCTGCACGTTCCCTTCCAATTTGCTGCTGCTCACTGCACTCGTCTTCACCTCCTTTCCCACAACCCCCCCCTGCACGCGGCCATGCCATGGGTGCGGCCAGGGCACGCTGCCCCAGGTGCAGCGCACGGTGCTGGAGGTGCTGCCGCGCCTGCAGCCCTCGGCACACGCACATCTGTGGCCCGCGCTGCTGCAGCAGCTGCTGGCGTACCTACCTGGTGGGGACCGCCTGCTCTGTCCGCACTGCCGCGTGCCGCCGCGCTTCCTGTCCGAGGCCACGCAACGCCACGCCCCCAAGGTTGCCCTTGCTGGCGCTGCAGGGGGTATTGACGGCACGAAAGGGGGCAGCGGTGCTGATGAAGGGAGAGGAAGGGGAGGAGGAGACGATGGTGGGGATGAGAGCGGAGCAGGCAGCGAGGAAATCGGTAGTCAAGGAGGAGGCGTGGAAGGTGCCACACAAACTGCCAACAATGGCAGTAGCAGCCGGACGACATCATTCGGCCTTTCGCTGGGCGGCAAAGTTCAACTGTTTGCGCCGGCAGCGGTGTACGTGCCGACATCAGGCAACCCCACGGGGTCGTTCATGCTCAGCTACCCCGTCACGGCGTCCGGCGCCCTCTCACCCGCACTGCAGGACCGTGTGGTGGCGCTGCTGCTCGAGCTCTTCCTCAACGCGCCCCCAGAGGCCCAAGACACCGTCCTGCCCGACCTCGTTGCTGCTCTCGGCAGGTGACGTGGGCGTGCGTGCCGTGCAGCAAGGGGTGGGCGCGAGTGGGCGCTGGAATTGAGACCGTCACACAGTTACAGCCGCTTGTGCTGACAATCGTTGGAACAGATGCGCCCTCGTTATCTCTGCTTATCCATTCGTTTCATTCTCATTCACTCGTCGTGCTTACCACGTGCTTCTCCCCACCACGTTCTTCCCACCATGTTCTCCCCGCTGCACCCTTGCGCGGCACAGGTGTATGCTCATCCGCCGCACCTCGCCTGACCTTCAGCTGTGGCGCACGGCCGTGGCCACGCTCTCAGACATCCTCAAACACGCCCTCCCGCCTGACCCCCCTCTCACAGCACACGCCAATCATATCTCCCCTTCAGACCCTCAGTCTCCTGCACACCCATCCTCGCCCAAGCATGCCTCTTCCACACACCACCACACCAAGCACCAGCATGAGGCACGTAAGGAAGTTGCCAAGGAGGGCAACGGTGCAGTGGGCGGCAGCAGTGAGGGGGGGAGGGCACGGCAACGCATGTGGCAGGAGCTGGCGGCGGTGGTGGAGCAGTTCGTGCTGGGCACATGCGGCACCGCCCTGCTGCCAGACCTTCCCTCCCCGGCGCCCCAGCCCTCGCCAGCACCACCCCCAGGCCATTCCCCCCGACGCTCCCCCAGAGTGGGGCGAGGGGAGGGCGCAGGGGGCAGTCCAAGGAGAAGAGCCGCTCCTGGCAGCGGCGGTGGCAGCGGGGCAGGGCGGGCACCAGAGGCCGGGGGAGCATCCGTGCCTGCTGGGAGGGGGGTGGGGGAGGCAGAGAGCAGTGACTGGGGCACAGGCAGCGAGGGGAGGGGCGGAGGAGGCGCGGGCAGCAGTGGGTGGGCGGGGGAGGCGGGGTCGACACGGGGAGTGTCGGAGCTGCTTACTCGCGAGGTGGTGGAGGCTGATGAGATGCTGGAGGCGCTCTTCCTTGACACCCTCTGCACCCGCGTGCTCACCCACTGCCATGACGCCCCCCACAAGGTGCCCACTGCCATGACGCCCCCCATAAGGTGCCCACTGCACTGCACTGGTGTGTATTTATCAAGCAAAGTCATTTCATCTGTCAATGCACCATTTCCCTGTCATCCTTCTCTCTACACCTTCCGTCTCTTCGCATCTTCTCCACGTGCAGCAACACCCCTGCACCTCTGCTGCTCTATCTCCCACGTGACCCCTCTGATCTGAACCGTGCAGGAGAGGGAGCGGCTGGTGGCAGTGCTGGATGCGTGTGCTGCACGCACCAGTGCATTGCCCCTGGCTGCTGCGGCAGCGCTGCCAACCCACTGCGCGCGCTTCTCCCTCGCCTGCCTCTCCCGCCTCTTCATGCTCGCCGGGTGGGTGCCTCGCCGCCTTGTTGCTCGCCGCCACCCTTTTTTGCCTGCCAATGTGCTCGACTCATGGCTTCTCCCTCAATGCACTAACCACATACCCATGCTCTCACTGCACTCAACTCATTCATCTCTCTGGATGCATTCATCGCATGGCCGCCCTGACAATGCGCACGTGCATCACATGCTACGTTCACCCCTCAACTGATGTTGTGGCACGTGCCCTCCCCCCACCCCTCGCTTCCTGCACGGCGCCTGCATGCATGTGGGCCAGGCAAGGCCGCCCAGAGGACACGGTGGCATCGTCGTCGGTGGCGGTGGGGCGGCTGGTGCTGCCTCGCCTCGTGGCGCGCTGCCATGCCATTCTGCACCGCTTTACCGCCGACTCCTTGCAAGCAGGTGGAGTTCGCACTTGCACCTGCCTCACCAGTTGATCGCTGCACAGGAGTAGCACACAGGGCTGCAAGCATATTTACGGACTTGCCTCATCTGCTTCGCTGCTTGGATGCGTCTCTGCATTCCCTCACTGCCTCCCATTGCCACCTCTCCCTCTGCCCTGCCTTCTCGACCATATTCTCCCTGCCTGCCCCTTGTGCCTTGTCCCCGTGTGTGGGAGGGCAGGGTCAGCAGCCATGCCGGCAGTGCGGCTGGCGGAGATGCTGCTGCTGCTGCAGGAGTTGGTGCGCCTCGTGCTGCACCCCCTCGTCGCTGCTGCAGTGGACGTGCCCATCGCGCCCAAAGCCAGTGCGGAGGCGCACACCACGGCGCAGGCAGCAGCAGCCGGGGACACGCTCACCAGGGGTGAGCTGGAGCGGCCATGGGAGCGGGAAAGCGCAGCGCGGAGGTTTGTGGACAGCGAGGGGCGGCAGCTGGGGTGGCAGCGAGCGCACCTGCTGCTGCTCTACTCGCCCCTCTGCGACCTCGTCTTCCTCCGGTACACATTCCACACTTCTCCCGTCCCGTGTCCCCCCCCCCCCCCCCTTAAACTCGAAAACCTCACAGAACCCTCTGTGTTTGTGTATAAGTAGCAGCTGTAGCAGTATCTCCTGTGCTTTTGCTCCGTGCTGCTTTTCTGCCTCACCTGTGCTCCACCCACCTCACTCCCCTCCCCATCTTACCCAAACCCTTTCCTCATGCTCCCAGACAATTTCCCGATTGTTCCTACACATTTCCATGCTCCCATACCCATCCCATGCTCCCATGTTCCCTTTTGACTATTGTACCCCCCTGTCACGTTTCCCATGCCCCCCTGTATGGCCGTTGCAGAGATGCGGATCTGTCCAACCTGTGTGCCATCATATTCCGACTCATAGGCAATGAACTGGGGCTGCTCAGACAGCCAACCCCACACCACTACCGGTAGTGCCACGCGTGTTTGCTCCTGGCATCATCAGGCGTGAGTCAAACACAACTGGCAGCAGCATTTAATACAATGCATTCACATGTGTTGGAACTTGTGTATGCAGCTCCTTGCATGTGCACGCTCCATCAGGAGCTTCAGAATGAATCAGCGCAATGTAATGGCATCCGTTGCAATTCACTGCAGGTGTGACGGATCGAGGAGAAATGCAATCTCTGGGTCTCTGGGGATGTTGAAACAAGATGTGAGCTAGCTAACCCTTTACATGTCCCTTGCAGCAGTCCTTGCTGAATGGCATGGCAACACACACTACCGTATTCTCCCGGACATAACACCCGGGGGTATTATGATAACCACAGGGAAAAAAGGGGGGGGGGTCCTCTCAACGGAAAATCCTATATACCGTATCACCCCGGATATAAGCGCCATGGCGCTTATAATAAAATCGATTTTTTTAAGGGTGGCGCTTGTAATTGAATAATGGCCATAAGCGCCGGCGCTTATATAAAGACAAATACAGAAATACAATTCAAACGCACCAACATGTACAGTTCAGTCTCGTAAGTTGAACCGAATTAAAACTTTACAGCGTCCAGAATCAGAATCGCGCGAGGGCGAATTTCTGACGGTGCACTGAGCTTTGGCGCGTCATTTTGCCCGCGTGCCAGCTCATACTGACTGGACGCGCAACCAGTGAGGTCCGCGAAAGTCAAACAAAGTGAAAATGTGATGTGACTCGCTAGAAATATGAAGTTCGTTACCGTTTTAATCAGGAATGAAAAATAAATTTAGGCGTGCGCTTATAATAAGTAAAGCATTTTCAGGGGGGGCGCTTATAATCGAATTCCGGCCATAAGCGCCATGCTCCAGATAGAAGCGCCGGCGCCTTTAATCGGACGGCGCCTATATCCGGGGCGATACGGTAATACCCGGGTGGTTATATATGGTATATTTTAATGCAAGAGGATTCTCAAATTAGACAGTTTGGGTGTTTCAATGGTCGTTTTAACATCACAGTTTGAGGCGAGAATGTGAGTTTTGGCAAGAATGTGAGTTTCACCTTTCGGACCACTTGCAGCGGAACATTCGCCAGTGTGGCAACTTCCTAGAATGTGGGATGGGGGAAATGTCCACTTGCAGCGAAAGATTCGCCAGGGTGGCGACAGTGAGATTGTGGGAGGGGGAAATGTTGGCGGATTCTAAGTGCAAGTACGCGCGAAATTTCATTTAGGAAGCAATTCTCGCGATATTCCCCTGTAAGGAATCAGACTCCATAACAACTATAATAGGAATCCGTAAGAAAAGGGGGGTGTTATAGAAAATCATCCAAAAAGGGGGGTATAGTAGAAACGAGGTCGCCCATAGCACCCACCCCGCACAAGCTACCCGGGGGTGTACTATCATGGGGGGGTGTTTTGTCCGGGAGAATACGGTATAAGTGATACTATAAATGCATCACTTCACTTCACTTTGCCCAGCGCGGCCTCGTCACTACGAGAGGTGCTAACTAACAAGTCATGCTGTGCCTGGCAGCCCCAGAGCAGCCTACTACGAGCAAATCCTAGTGGGTGGGTGCCTTGACATGCCTTGGCGCACCTCAAGCCTACCCGCTGCTCAAGTACCCACTTAAGGACAGCTCTCTTCGAAACCTGCTCACACACACACACACACGAGGAGAGTCAAGACTCAGTGATGACCATCCTTGCACCAAGCATACCCGACGGTATCAATGGAGGCAGAGAGATGACAGTAGCAAATGCGATGGCGACAAGGCAAAGCGAATGGCAAGCACCAGACCCCTGCTCTCACCTGCGCCTGGCATCCGCTGTCCCTTCAACCCTCTGCTCTTCACTGGGAACAGCAACAGCAGCTGCAGCAGCCGTAACGTCGTCAACAACGCCCTCCTCTTTGCCCACACCAGTTCCCCTCTGCCTCCCCTGCCTCCTGTCCCCTTTCCTGCTGCCCTTGCTGCTGCCTGCTGCCCTGCTCAGCGTGGGGCTAAGAGGGGGAGGGCAGCCATTAGGGCCAAGCTGGGGCAGGGGCAGAGGGATGGCAAGGGTGGGGGTGGAAGCATACGTGTGGCGCCTCTTTATGGCCTGAGGCACGTCAGATTGAGGCGACAGGGTGGTTGCAGTAGGGTGCATGTGGTGGCTGTGGTGCTGCTCGCTCACACGCTCCACTGCCCCATTCCCACCATGACGCCCCCCAGCCTGCTGCCCACCACCACCGCTGCCATAATCCGCTGCCCCAACCATCGCACCACTTCTTGCCCCACTGCCACTCTGCCCAACCCCAGCTCTGCCTCCCGTGGTAGGGCCAACGGCAGCATGGCAGCTGCTGAAGTGCCTGGGAGAGCGCGAGGATGATTGCCCCGGGGCGAGCGCTCTGCTCCCTGGGCCTCCCTGTGCACGCAAGGCCGAGGCATCAGGTGCTCGGCTGCCCAGTGGGCTGCTGGGGGCACTCAGCGCTGCGCTCATGCTGTCTATGCTGCCACTCTTCACATGCCTGCCCTGTGCGCGTGGGCTGGGAGAGGGAGCAGGGCTGCTGGGCGCCCGAGGGCTGCATGCCGTGCCGTGGCTGCTGCCCACTGGCAGCAGCGGTGCCACGCCCTCACTGCCATGCGCTGTCTGCTGCGCCTCACAGTTCCCAATAGGGGAAGAGAACACAGTGGGCGGCGGCATGCGGTTGCTACGCGGTGACAGCTGGGAGTGGGGACTTGGCAGGGTCGGTCGGGTGCGTGCTGAGTTGCTGCGACTGACCGCACCGCGCGGGCTGCTCAAAGGACTGCCCAGGGGGCTGTTCAGGGGGCTGTGTTGCGAGTGGCAAGGGGCGAGGGGCGGGGCGAGAGAGAGTGGAGGGACCACGGGGTTGGAGCGGAGGGGGTGGGAGGGGCTGGCAGCAGGGTGATGGGCAGGGTCAAGGCTGTGGGGCGGGGCACTGCCCCGAGGGGACCCAAGGCTGCCAAGGCTCACAGAGTTGCGTGGTGCGTGTGAGCGTGGCTTGGGGCTCAGAGCAGGTCGGGGGCTTTGAGGTGGCTTGGACGGCGGAGAGGAGCGGCTGTGGAAGCTGGCAGACATGGCGTGCGCGCCGCCTGCATCATCACCATGGCCCCACTCGCCCCGCCTCTCCTGCCTCGCCTCCTCCTCCTGCCTGTGCCCCGCCGTGCCAGCATCCGCTGCGAGCCACGCCTGCTGGGATGCAGGGTAGAGGTCTCTGGGCGCAGGGCAGGGCGTTGCCGTGAGAGGGCGGTGGGGGGAGAGGGCCCCATCGGAATGGAGGGGAAGCACGGGGCGGGGAGGGGCGGAAGCTTGGCGGGGAACGGGGGGGGAGTGGGTGGTGGTGGGGAGGGGCGCCCACTGTACCGTGGCACCTTCCTTGGATCTGCTTCGCTGCCTCCCCTCCTGCTCTTGCCACTCCTGCTGCTGCAGCCACTGCGCTCGCTGCTGCTGCCTCGCACTTAGAACCGCTCTGACCTGCTCCTCCTCCCTGCCTCGCTCCCCGTGCCCACCTGCCCCTCTCCCACCCGCCCTGCTCGCTGGCGGACTGCCACCTCCCACCGTCGCCTGCACGCGCACCTGCTCGCCCTCACCACCACCGCGCATGTCCCCTCCGCCCCTGCACTGTGGATCGCCCACGATGCCGGCCTGTGTCGTGCCCGCGTGCATCCGCTCTTCCCCGAACTGCACGCCCTCTGTGCCCGCCATGGCAGGCGCCAACCTTTCCGCGACCCTGCCGCTCCCCTGCTGGATCCCTGAACCCCTTTCTGCCTCCCCCACTGCACCCCCTGCTGCTACCGCCGCGTCCAAGCTCTGCACTGCCCCATTCCAACTCACGCCTCCCCGCCTGCCCTCCTGCCCCCCGTTCCCCGGGTCCGCGCGCCCTGCCACCGCCACCTCCCCCAGCTCCGCCGCCTCTCTCTGTTCCGCCTCCGCCACTCGCCTGCGGTGCTCCACAAAGCTCCGCACCACCACCACCAGCGACCGCGGCGACGCTGCTGCTGCTGCTGCTGCTGCCGCCGCACAGGGGGAGCGCGGCGACCGCAGGAGCGACTTGGCGGATGCTGCTGCTGCGGGGTCGGTAGAAGAGGCGGTCGGGGAGGGTTTGGGGGAGGCGAGTGGGGAGGTGGAGGGCGACAGGGGCGGGCATCGCTGGTGCAGCACTTTGAGCGCCTGCTGCTGTGCGCTCTGCTGCGGGCTGGGCTGCGGGCTGTCCACGGAGTTGCGGCGCACGTTCAGCTGCGGCAGGGCTGCCTTGGCGCGCCATCTGCTGCTCCGCCCACTGCCGGCCGCCCACCCCTTGTCCTCCTCCCCTGCACTCGCCCTCTCCCCCGCGCCCTCCCCCATCTCAGCGGTCACTGTCGGCTCTCTTCCGCCCTCGCTGCGCCGGCCGCCCACCGCGGTCTTGCGCCATCCGCCGCCTCGCAACGGGCTGCTCCTACCGCCACCCACAACCTCCGCTTCCGCTGACCTGCGCGCGTCGGAGAGCGACGCTGGCGGGGCGGCGGCGAGGGGCGACGCGATTGGGTCGAAGGTGCGGCTCTCCAGAATACCCGGCGCCTCGGCGCTCGTCGCCGATACAGCGCGCGCCACCGACGCTGCGGCGGCTCTGGGCGAAGTGGCGGCTCTGGGCGAAGTGGCGGCTCTGGGCGAAGTGGAGGACCTGGGCGAAGAGCGAAGGGTTACCGACTTGGCGAAGCCGGGAAGCGACCAGGCGGTATCCGACGGGGAGGTGGGAGCGGCGGGGGGGCTGATGGGGGAGCGGAGGTTGGGGGAGGAGCGCGACCACTGCCCCAACTGGAGGAACGGCAGCGACCCCGCCGACTTGGACGGCTTATGCCCCGCCGCTCGCTCCGCTTCCCCTCGTTCCTCCCCGTCCCCGTGCGCCTGCGCCTTGCCGTCCGCCGTGGGGGTGAGCGGATGCCGCGGCGACGACTGGGCGTCCGCAGGGAGCGCGGAGGGGTGGAGCGGGGAAAAGGAGAAGGAGAAGGGCACGGCCGCAGCCGACCACTGGCGCGTGTGACGCGCGCTGCGCGTGTGCTGCGGCGACGAGAGCGGCGACCCCGCCGACCACAGCGAGCGAACGCGTCGATTGGTGAAGCTGCCGCTGGCATGGCGGCGGGGCGACGAGGTCGCAGCGGGCGACGCATCGCTGGGCGACCGCAGGCCGCGCGTGCTGTCGCTCTCCTCCACCTCCTGCCACAACGCCTCCAGCCGCTCCTGCGCCTCCTGCCGCTCCTGCGCGCACGGCACGCGCAATGCAGGAGGATTGTCCGCGCCGACACGCGGAGAGGAGTCGAACGGTGGGCGAGCGGGGGACGACATGAGGTCGCGGAGCTCGGCGCGCTCTGTCTCCGCGCTGCCCGGCGCGCTGACGGTGCTCGGCGGTACCTCACACAGCAGCACGGCGGATGCCGCAGCCATCCGCGCGACTGTACGGCGCACGCGAGGAGAGGAGCGAACGAGACGAGTGGAACGAGGTGCGCGCCATGGGGTGGGTGGCGAGGATGTGGAAAGAGGTGCGAGGGTGACTCGTAATTGTGCAGGCAGGAAAACTAGGGCTATGACTCTGACGACCGCTGCGGTTCAGGCGGGCTGGGCTGCTTTGCTGTCTGCCTGTTGCATGCATTTCGGTTTGGTTTGGAGGTGCACGGATTGGATTGGGTGATGCGTGTCACCTATGAATATTCGTGCTGGCGCGAGAAACCGCTCTAGAGTGCAACAGCATCGTACTCCACCGCTTTACCCGGGCAAATCTCATCCCTCCAAATCGTGATTGAATCGGACGACGGTGAGCGTCCACCGTGTGACCCGAGGGTTGCGATCGGGATCACGTGGCCACAAGTGACGTGATGATGGTGAGATACTTTTGGCTGCGGAGCGTTGAATCGCGATTCACATATCCCCTCCTCCCCGCCCCCTCTCCTTCCTGCCCCATTGGTTCCAACTGCCCTCGGTGGCAAGTTCGGTACGAAGTGATAGTGTGTGGTGCATATCTGGAAAGGTTCGGAGCCTATTTGTGATTCAAGTTACACCGTTTCCACCAGCTGTTATGCTGACAAAGGCGACAACACCAAGCTCAGCGCCACGATACATATCCAGACCACCACAACAGCAACTCAGCCTGTCCTCCATTCGGCCGCGTCCTTTCCACGGCGCTCGCTTGCGTTCGATGCTGCTTGCGCACTCTCCTCCCACCCCCCCCGCCTCACCCCCTACAACCTCCTCTACCTTCTTCTTTCTCTTTCCCGCCTTGCTCTCTCTTTGCCTCTCTCGTCGCGCGTCGGGCAGCGGCAACGTGCGTGAGGTGTGGGGTATCCGCGCCTGGCCGTGTCCGGGTCTGCCTTGTGATGCGCGACGGAAGTCCATAGCCGATGCGTGACGGAAGTCGATGGGAAGTGACAGCGTGACGAGAGTCCATGGATGTCGAGACGGAACCGCTTCGTGTCAAGGCCACGGGCTTTAAGAGGCGCCACTATGTGAAGCTCTCGGCGCTCCGCCGGTCCCCCGAGCCCAAGCGACCGCCGGGCAGCATGGCGGCGGAAGCCCCGCTGGTGCCGCGGACGGCCAGCGGAGGCGGTGGCAGCGGAGCAGTGGATGGGGGGAGCGGAGGCGCGGGGTTGGGGGGAGCCGACAAAGAGGGCGAGCAGGCGTCGCGGAGCGCGTGTCCGTTTGTGGCGCCGACGCTGGCGTTTCTGGTGGCCAGGCGGCGCGCGGTGCTGGTGTTTGCGTCGGCGTTGTGCGCGGCGGTGGCGGCGGGGCTGTTCTGCCTCGTGTACTTCCTCCACCTCGCCTCCTACCAGGTGCCGTCACTGCGCGCACGGGCTCCGTCGGAGGAGGGTTGGGCAACAGGGTTGGGGCATGAAGGGGTTGGGAGAAAGGGGTTTGGACGATGCTGGGATGAAGTGCGATGGTGGTGGTTTCAGCAATGTAGTATTGTGACACTGTGGATTGCATTGTGATGTGCCGTGTCTGCCTCTGTTGCATGCTTCTAACACTTTGTGCGATGCGGTGTTGCCTTGCGTCATGCGGTGTTTCTGTGTGCAATGTGATGTGTGTGATGCGGTGCTGCTGTGTGTGATGGGGTGTCCATTGCACGTGCATTGCACCGCACGCCATGCAGGCATCGCTGTCATCGCAGTGTGCGCTGTGGGCGCACGAGCTGGGCAGTGCATTGCAAGCATCGCTGGGAGGGGTGCGCGCGCTGGGGGACACGCTCACAGTGCTGCACGCAGCCGTGGACCAGGTACGCATGCTGCCACTGCATTGATCCCCCTCGTTTCATGAAGCGCCTCCCATCATCCGCTATTGCAGCAGCTAGTGTGGCAGCGCCTTCCTACATGGTTTGCTCGTCGCGTTGTTCATTGCCCGCTAGTCGTTGCCCGTTGCTGTGCTGGTTGCTCATCGGCGGCAACCACTTCCCACCCCCCCTGCGCGCGCTGCATGCATGGGGGGAGCGGAGCAGGCGGCGTTCACGCGCCTGGTGGCCTCCACCGACTACACGCGCCCGCTGCTCGCCTTCCCTCCCCCGCCCCCTCTCGCCACTGCAGCAGACGCGGGGGCGAGTGGGTGGGGGCAGGGGGCGAGCGCCATGGGGTACGCGCTCTCGCTCAACCACTCCTCGCACGCCGCCGTCCAGAACCGCTTCCTCAACGCCACCTGTATCTGGTGCGTGCGCGCCCCCCTCTCATGCCCAACCCCATCCCTGTCCCCTCGTGCCATGTCATCCCGCACTTGATTTGTGTAACCCTTACAGTCACCACCCCTCACATTCTCTCCTCCCTAAAGTCACATTCCCCTCCACCCCTCAGTCTCTCCCCTTTTTGCATTCTCTCTTCTCTTCACATTCTCCCCTCCCCTCACATTCTCTCCCTCCTCGCCTTGTCGCCTCTCCTCAGTAGCTCCGTGCTGCCCAACCATCCACGTGCACACCACTCCCCACCCTCCGCCCCATGCTCACCCTCCGCCCCATGCTCACCCTCCGTCTCCCCTCTGCACTCTGTTGTTGTCCTCCCTGCATGCATGTACGCGTTCAGGAATGTGAGTGGAGGGTGCGCGCCTCAGCAGCAGCACTACCTGCCGCTGCTCCACTACTCGCCCACCCTCGCCACCATCCTCTCCCACCTCGCCACCCCCAACAGCAGCACAAGTGGCGTGGGGGCGGCGTATGTTGGACTGGACATGCTTTCTGGTGTGTGTGGTGAAGAGCGGGGAAAGGGTGGGTGGGGAAGTGGGGGCGTCTGTTGCTACTATATCCAGAAGCTACCACATTTCATAGTTTTGAACCTAGTATTGCCTGTTCCATTGCCTGCCAGCCACCCATGCCACAGCACACACACGACTCGCTACGAGCTTCATTCAAAGCAATGCCTCCCATTAGTCAGTACCAGCATCCCACACCTTTTCAAGCGCAAGCCCTGCATGCCACGGGCCATTTTCCTGCCTGTTACCCTCCACCTGTGAATGCCCAATCTCCCTCCCTCCTCTCCCGCACAGTTCCCCAGCTTGGTCCCGCGGTTGCCCTCTCGGCGCTCTCCGCCCTCTCTGCCAGCCTGCCCTGCACCCTCTCCCCACCCTTTGCCCCTCGCTTCCCCTTCCCTGACAACTCCTCCTCCGCTGCCACCTCTGCCCCCACACCCACCACCATCACCTCCTCCTCTTCGACCAGCAGCAGCGACCAACCGAGGTCGTTTCCTGCTAATACATCTTTGGCAGCAACAGCAGCAGCAGCAGCAGCTCAGTCGCCTGCGGAGCAGCAGCAGAGAGCAGTGGTGGCATCAGTGCCCGTGTATGGACGAGCCATGCCGCCCAACGCCACGTCAGACGAGATGCAAGCAGCAGTGATAGGATTCGCGTTTGCAGTGGCTGACATGCAGCTCGCCCTCTCGCAGCTCTCTCAGGTACTTCCTTCCCCGCCTCATGCCATGCCTCCTCTCACATGTGCTCCCACCGCTCCTCTTGTCTCAACATGACAGTTTCAACTGAGCTGCCCAACTTGCACTTCCATCCCTCACACCATCATCCATGTGCTGCCCCCCTCCTGCTCCTGCTCCTCTCCACCTCCCTCGCCCCCTCTCCCCCTCCTCCCTTGCAGGCGCCGTCCAGCAGCAGCAGCAGCTGTGGGTCAGCGGCGCTGCTGCTGCAGCTGCAGGACACCACGGCCGCCACCACCACACTTGTCCTCGCACAGTATCCCCCGCTGCAGCCCCCCGCCATGCCTGAGGCGCCCTCGTCCTTCCCTGCAGCGCACGCCGTGCCTCTGCCGGCAGTGGGCCGCCAGTACACCCTCGCTTGCAGGTACCACAGCCTGCCGCCCTGCTCTGCCCTTCTCCGCTCTCCACTCCTTACCACTTCCTTCCTCTCTTTCTCTTCCTTCCTTCCCCCCTCCTGTTTTTCATATTCGTTCTGCCCCTCGTCCCTGCGCCCTGCACCTTGCCCCATGGTCTGTATCCCGTCCCGTGCGTGCTCGTGGTTGCAGGTACCAGTCACCGCCGTTCCCCTACATGGCAGTGGTGTGGCCGTGTGTGGTGGTGGCGGGGGCGGCGCTGGTGGTGGCGGTGGTGTACGTGGTGGCGGGGGAGGTGGTGCGCGTGGAGGGCGACCTGCAGCGCATGGCGGCGCTCAAGGAGCAGATGCGCGCCGCCAAGGTCGCTGCAGAGGCCGCCAGCCGCGCCAAGGGCACCTTCCTCGCCACGATGAGCCACGAGATCCGCACTCCCATGAACGGCGTCATCGGTGCGTGCGCTCTGCGACGCTCTGCTGTCCCCTGCTCTGCTCTGCTGCGCTGTTCTGTGCTATGCTGTGCTGTGCCCACGCTGCCTCCGAGGCGCACATATGGGTCACTGAATTGTGCAACCCTAAACCCGAAATCCATGGGTCACTGCATGCATGCATGCATGCATAGCTGCATGTTTGCAACCTCTGATGTGTAGTCAAATGATGGTTCCTTGATGCTTCCGTTTTTTCCCTTCCCCACCGTCCCTTCCCTTCCCCTCTCCCCCCTCTTTCCCTTTTGGGCACGGTTGGCAGGCATGCTGAACCTGCTGCTGCAGACGCCGCTGGACGCGGTGCAGCTGGACTACGTGGAGACGGCGCGCACCAGCGGCAGGGCGCTCTGCTCCCTCATCAACGACATCCTCGACCTCTCCAAGATCGAGGTGCGCTGGCAGAGCCCCGCACTCCCGTGCTCCACACCCACACCACACGCCTCCTGCTCTCCACACCGCACCGCACTGCACCCCTTCACTCTGCACCTCACTTCCAATGCTTCACTGTGTATTGCCTGCACACAGCACAGCCTGGCATCACCACCGAGTGCCCATATTCATCCATCAAGATCGAGTCGCTCTCCTCTCTCCATTCAATTCCTGCTCCAGTGGTTCCTTCCTGCATTATAATGCCCCTTCTCCTCCCCCTCCCCTCCCTCCATGGGTGTGTGTGTTGGGTGCGTGCACGTGGGGGCGAGGGCAGGCGGGGCGGATGGAGCTGGAGAGCATGAGGGTGGACGTGAGGGCGGAGATAGACGACGTGCTGAGCATGTTTGTGGAGCGCACGCGCAACAAGCCGCAGGTGGAGGTGGCAGCACTCGTGCACGACGCGGTGCCCACGTTTGTGCTGGGCGATGCGCTGCGGCTGCGGCAGGTGCTGATCAACCTGCTGTCCAACAGCTGCAAGTTCACCGCCCGCGGCCACGTGCTCATCACCGTGCGCACCGCCACCCCCCATGACGACCTCGCCGTCCCCGGCGCCCACTTTGCCGACGCCCGCTCCCTCGCCCGCACCTCCCTTGCCGACTCCGACCGCGCTGCTCCCAGCACCAGCGCTGCTGCAGTTACTAACACGCCCAGTGCTGATGGTGCGGGTGCAGCAGGAGGCGGGTGGAGCTCCACCCCTGCCCCTGCTGGAGGTGCTGCCGCAAGTGCAGTGATGTCTGCGCCTGCTGCTGCTGGTGGTGCTGGCAAGGCCGTCGTGGTGCATGCAGGTGGTGCACGGGGAGAAGTGAGCGCGGGTGCTGGGGCAGCGAGGGGTGCAGCGCCTGGAACAACAGAACTGGCAAATGGCAGGAGAGGGGAGGGCGGAGAGGAAACCTGCAGATTGCATGGAGGTGACTCAGATGCATGGGAGGGAGAGGTACACGGGGAAAAGGAGGAGTGTACTGGTGAGGCGGGCGCAGGGGAGATGATTGATGGGGGCTCCTCCGGCGCCGTCACGCAGGCTCGAGTCGAGGGGGAGGGTCAGATGGGCGCAGAGACAGGCAGTGATGGGCAGGGGCAGGGGCAAACGGGGCAGCAGCAGAAGAAAGAGATGGGGCAGGGGCAGGGGCAGGGGCGGAGGGGTAGGCAGGGGGAGTTTGAGACGTTGAGTGGAGTGGAGGCGGTGGAGAGCTGCAACAGCTGGGCGCGCATCCAGGCTCTCATGGAGCGCCCCCCCCAGGCAGGCCCGCCCCCGGGCCACCTGCAGTGCACGCCTGCTGCGCCACACAGCAGTGGTGGGGCTGCGGGCAAGGCGGGGGAGCACGGCGGAGGTGAAGCACAGAGTGGGATGGTGCGGCTGGTGGTGTCCGTTGAGGTGAGCAGTGCGCTGCCGGTAGGGACATGAACCGGTGGTGTCCTGTGCCAAGGAGTCAATCGGTGGTTCGTGGTGTGATGGCATCACAAACCACTGGTCAATCAGTGATTTTTTTATCGTCTCACAGACACTGGCATGCACCGAATAAGCTTTGACCAAGGCAATCTGACTGAAGCTTCTGTGATTCCCTCCGCTCTCACCACCCCCACTGCATGCTGGCAGGACACGGGGCAGGGCATACCATGGGCGGCGCAGCCTCGTCTGTTTCGGCCGTACGTGCAGGCGGACATCAGCACCACACGCACACACGGCGGCACGGGCATCGGCCTGTCCATCTCGCAGCACCTGGTGGCGCTGATGGGCGGCAAGCTGGCGTTTGTGAGCCGCCCGGGCGTGGGCACGACCTTCTTCTTCGACATGACGCTGCCCTTTGAGAACCCCCCGGACCCCTCCCATGACGCCCCCGCCTCTGTTGCTCCTGCTGCCGCCGGCAAGAGGAGAAGTGCCCCCGCACTTGCCTCTCGAGTCTCTGACCTTCAGGTGCGTGCGAGGCTGCCTCTTGTGTCGGCGTGAGGACCTTATTCAGTGTTGGCAGCCCGTTTCAGTGGGCACGGGTCACAGGAGTGACAGTCTGCCTCGCAGCAACTGCAAGTACCGTGTCGTGTCTCCATGCATTCCCTGTGTCTCCATGCATTCCCTGTGTCTCCATGCATTCCCTGTGTCTCCATGCATTCCCTGTGTCTCCATGCATTCCCTGTGTCTCCATGCATTCCCTGTGTCTCCATGCATTCCCTGTGTCTCCATGCATTCCCTGTGTCTCCATGCATTCCCTGTGTCTCCATGCATTCCCTGTGTCTCCATGCATTCCATGTGTCTCCATGCATTCCCTGTGTCTCCATGCATTCCCTGTGTCTCCATGCATTCCCTGTGTCTCCATGCATTCCCTGTGTCTCCATGCATTCCCTGTGTCTCCATGCATTCCCTGTGTCTCCATGCATTCCCTGTGTCTCCATGCATTCCCTGTGTCTCCATGCATTCCCTGTGTCTCCATGCATTCCCTGTGTCTCCATGCATTCCCTGTGTCTCCATGCATTCCATGTGTCTCCATGCATTCCCTGTGTCTCCATGCATTCCCTGTGTCTCCATGCATTCCCTGTGTCTCCATGCATTCCCTGTGTCTCCATGCATTCCCTGTGTCTCCATGCATTCCCTGTGTCTCCATGCATTCCCTGTGTCTCCATGCATTCCCTGTGTCTCCATGCATTCCCTGTGTCTCCATGCATTCCCTGTGTCTCCATGCATTCCATGTGTCTCCATGCATTCCCTGTGTCTCCATGCATTCCCTGTGTCTCCATGCATTCCCTGTGTCTCCATGCATTCCCTGTGTCTCCATGCATTCCCTGTGTCTCCATGCATTCCCTGTGTCTCGTGCATTCCCTGTGTCTCCATGCATTCCCTGTGTCTCCATGCATTCCCTGTGTCTCGTGCATTCACTGTATGCATTCACTGTCCCTCCATGCATGCCCTTCCCCTGCTCACCGGCTGCACAGGGGTGCACAGCGGTGGTGCTGGACGACCGGCCTGTGAGGCGCGCCGTCACAGCCACGTATCTGCGCCGCCTCAGGCTCAACGTGCTCCTCGCTCACCGCTGGGAGGACCTCCCCCCACTCCCCGCCCTGCCACTACCACCCTCCCCTCCTGCCCCGCCTGCTCCTGCCACTCCCCCCCAAGCTTACCCATCCTCCCCGGGCCCACTGGCAGTGGTGGGCGTGGTGTCCCCTGCACTGCCAGGAGTGGCAGCAGGCAGCGTGGCAGCAGCATCGGTGGCGGGGCAGGAGAGTGGGGGCACGCCCCTCTCAGATGCCGGGCCATCTGTTGCCGTGGCAGTCATGCCAGGCGCACCCAGCACAGCACCACGCACTGCGGGTGGCGGCGGGTCGGGGCCCCCAGCGGGCACTCCATCGGGCGGTGCGTTCCTGCTGGTGGACGCGGAGACGCTCGCCCGCCATGCCCGCGCCTGGCGCCACTCACTGCCCACGCCACCTGCACGCACGCATGAGGGAGGGCGGGGCGAGGGAGGCGAGCCTGGGGTGGGAATGGCAGGCTTGGGCACGGGCAGGGATGGTGATGGGGCGGGGGGTGATGTTGCAGGGGCGGAGGCAGAGGCAGAGCTAGGGGCAGGTGTGGGGCGTGATGGGGCAGGTGGAGAGGAGTGCGCAGTGCCCATTGTGCGCGCAGGCGGCGAGAGGACAGCCCTCCTCCCCTCCTCGCCGTGGAGGGCAGAGGACGCGTCCCAACAGTTGTGCGCCGCCCGGGCAGCCTCTGACGGGGCTGCCACGCCCCCTCTCGGCACACTCGCTTCTGCCACGCCCCCCTCCCCTGCTGGCAGCGTGGAGAGCCCCGATGGCAGCAGTGGCGCTGGCAGTGACGCCATGGGAGGTGGGGGCGGGGGAGGCAGCGGCGTGCTGACGAGCGCTGCTGCCATGGCCACTGCTGCTGCCTTCTGGACCAGCCGACAGCAGCAACAGCCGGGAGGAGTGGAGGAACAGAAGCAACAAGAGCAAGGAGTGGGGGAGCGGCCACAGCAGCAACAGCGATTGGGGGAACAGAGGCAACAGCAGCAAGAAGCACATGAGAAGAAGCTACTGAGTTCACAGTGGCAGTCACAGCAGCAGGACCAGCAGGAGCAGGAGCAAGAGCAGCAGGAGCAACATGTGAAGCATTCACTTCCTGTGCCGCCATTGCAGCAGGAAAGTAGAGGGAGTGAAAGGGCTGATGAGGAGCATCGTGATGCAGCGGGGGGTGGTGGAAGTAGTGCCCCAGCCACTGCAGCCTCCACGGGCCCAGGCCCAGGCCCAGGCCCAGGCCCAGGCACAGGCACAGGCACAGGCACAGGCCCAGGCCCAGGCACAGGCACAGGCACAGGCACAGGCACAGGCACAGGCACAGGCACAGGCACAGGCACAGGCACAGGCACAGGCACAGGCACGGATGCGGACACGAGCACGGATGCGGACACGAGCACGGGGTTGAAGTTGAGTAAGGGTATGGGTATGGCCATGGGCAATGGCATGGGCATGGGCATGGGTGCATGGCGCATGGTGCTGCTGGTGCGCGAGCCAAGCATGGAGAGCGTGGCCGCGCAGGCGGGCTTCCACGCCACGCTGCTCAAACCCATCCGCCGCGCCGCCCTCGTGGGCGCGCTGCTGCAGGCCGCCAAGCACAGCAGCGGGGGGGGCAGCAGCAGCAGCACACAGGGTGCAGAGGGCGGGCAGGGCACCTTGGGTAGGCGAGGGGAAGGAGGATCTGAAGGAAGGAGAGGGACAGAAGTGTCAAGTCCCGAGGATTTCAGGGGCGTGACGGGTGGGGAGCACGATTACGTGGTTGTGGTGGATAACGGGGCAGAGGATGCCTGTGGGGCAGGTGCAGGCGAAGCAGAGAGATCGGATGGAGGAGCATCTGTGGATTCAGACATGGCGCTTTCCCCTGTCACGCTCACGGGAAGGAGCGGAAACAAGGAGATGCGTCTGAAGCAAGTGGAGGCAGGAGAGAGGAGTGGTGGTGAGAGGAGAGTGGCGGTGGAAGGGCGGGGTGGCAGCAGTGCGGCGTTGGCGAGTCCCAGGGCGAGGAGGGTGGCTGAGGGTGCCCCACAGTCGCTGACTCAGATGCTCACTGCAGTGCTGCATGGCAAGCACTTTCTCGTGGTGAGTTTCTGTTGAACTCATTGCAGCTGCTTGGACATGTAAGGCCTAAGCACCAGTGTCACTGAGTTGAGTGCGCTACTGCCCCGTTCGTATGTGTAATGTGGTGTGGTGTGGTGTGGTGTGGTGTGGTGTGGTTTGGTGTGGTGTGGTGTGGTGTGGTGTGGTGTGGTGTGGTGTGGTGTGGTGTGGTGTGGTGTGGTGTGGGTGTGCAGGTGGACGACAACATGGTGAACCGCAAGGTGATAGCCAAGATGCTGGAGCGATACAAGGTGCACGTGGTGCCCGTCGTGGGGGGCGCCGTGGCCGTGGCCAAGGTGGTGCCAGGCCACGCCTTCCACTGCATCCTCATGGACGTCCAGGTCAGCTCTCCGCCCCATCTGCATGCCCGCTGCACCGCTGGGGCTGGAGCTTGGGCAGCACTTTACTGCTAGCTACTGTATGCTTGTCCCCCCCCACGTCACAAATCCACGTTTCTTTCTGCCCTCACTGTGTTCAGATGCCGGGTATGGACGGATTCGAAGCCACAAGGCAAATCCGCAGGCAAGAAGCGAAGTACAGGCTCTCACAGACTCCGATATTTGCACTTACAGCGGACATCTTTGCAGGGACTCGGGAGAAGTGCATCGAGTCTGGCATGAACGGCTTCTTGTCAAAGCCTATAGAGGAGGAGCAGCTGTGGAACGTGATTTACAAGTACTTTTGCCATTTGACAGACTCTCTCTTTGTGGAAACATCTCCAACAATTAGTCGACCATTTTGAGAGTTCCTTCCTATCGGGGCCGACGTTTAAAAAAAATACGGTACCACACTTTGAATCTCCGGGTTAAAACCGTTCTGTTTGATGGTCATTTGCTAGGATTTGACTACCGGTAGTCTGTCTCAATGTCTGTTTTTTCCCGAGTCGCGTCTAAATGTTTAGTCAACTTTGCGTCTTGAAGTGTAAATGATTGTTGACCAAGCTACATGTACAGTTGGGCGCGTCTACTTGGGCGGGGTGCAGGGCAAAAAAAAATCAGGGTAAAATGCCCTGATTACCGTATTCTCCCGGACATAACACCCTAGGGTATAGCTAAAAATACAGGGAAAAAATGGGGGGGGGGGGGGTCTCCTCATAGGAAAAAAATATATAATACCCGGGTCTTTAAATATGGCATATTTTAGTGTTAGTGTTTTTTTAATTAGTCAATGTGGGTGTTTTGCTGGTCGTTTTAGCATCACTGCCTGAGGCGCGAATGTGAGTTTCGGCCTCGAACTTCATCGCCCTCACGAAAATGCCATGTGGCACCTCTCTTGCCATTTGCAACGGAAGATTCACCTGCACGTGGCAACAAAGAAATAGTGGGAGGGGGCAAATCTCAGCAGATTGCCTTTGAATGTACGGTACCGCGAAATTTCATTGAGGGAGAAATTCACACGATATTCTTCCGTATTGCAGCTACTTGTTAACGACTACCGTCATCGCCCGGATATAAGACAGTGTTGAATAGTAGACATGGGTTGTCTATTATACGGGTGTCTCTTATAAACAGGCTAGCCTTTTTATACGACACCTATTTGTGTGTACGAGATAAGACATACTATGTGTCTTATAATCGAAACTGCAATGTATTATAGTGAAATTTGAAATACCGCGTACATTTTAACCTTGCGACACACGAATTTTGCCAAGTGCTTGTCACAATCTCAACCACTAGACAATTGGGATAAAAGGGCTTGTTTCAGTAGCGGGTCAGTGCGCCCATAACCCCCCAGGCAACCGTGCCTGTAACCCTTACCTAGGATCAATCGGGGATCACCAGTGGACTCACGTACTACCATCTGCCTCTGCAAGTATTCGGGATAACGTGGCGTCCCGAACAATGGTTGCCGAAGTGGCACCTTCGCAACATCCACACTCTTAATGAGAAACTCTTTTCAAGATGCGTGAAAATATTTCTAAGTAGTTTAAAAAAGTTTCCATTTATAAGACTTATAAGACACCCAAAACCTCCCCAAATACAAGATAACCCAAGCATTTTTTTAGTGTATGAGATAAGACATATATGCCTTATATCCGGGCGATGACGGTATAATAATGAATCCGTAAGAAAAGGGGGGTGTTATAGAAAATCAGCCAAAAAGGGGGGTATAGTAAAAACGAGGTCTATCATAACACCCACCCCGCAGAAGCTACCCGGGGGTGTACAATTATGGGGGGGTGTTTTGTCTGGGAGTATACGGTACCTTGGGGGGCGGCTGCTGTTTCAGAGTTACCCTTTAAAATGAGAAAGTAAGAACGATGAGAAAGTAAGAACGAGAATGAAATGAACTATGAATGAAGTGGGTACAAGTACTAACCCTAATTGGGTTGTACCCCCTATGGGATACCCCACTACAGCCTACACAAAAGCATAAGCTATAAATGTTCTGACACACCCCCATAGGCAAAGTGGGGGAGAACAGGGGTTCACAAGACCAGTCAAGCAAAGCAAAGCAAAGCAAGCTCAGGGTGGATCACAAAGTCACCACACATTCCGAGCACAAGTTCAAGGCCACAAGGCCAGTTCACATGCAGGAGTACATATATATATAAGGCTAGACAAGCGAGAGAAGGTATATATATATATATATATATATATATATATATATATATATATATATATATATATATATATATATATATATATATATATATATATATATATATATATATATATATATATATATATATATATATATATATATATATATATATATATATATATATATATATATGTAACAGAACAAGAAAGGTCAAGAGGTAAGCAAGTGAGGCAAGACAGGGACAAGACCCAGCTGAGTGCAGAAGCGCTGATGATCACAGGGCAGAAGTGCCTTGGTGAAAACATCAGCAGTGTTGGCCTCAGAGGCCACGTACGCAAGCCCCAATTGTCCACGCTGCTGTAGCTCACGAGCAAGGAAGTAGCGGAGAGCAATGTGCTTTGTTCTGTGCTCCAGTCGCTGCTCTCAACACAAGGTCAGCATGGCCTTGTTGTCTACGTACAGAACTGGAGGAGAACGAGGCGGCTCCTCGAAGTCAGTCAGCAGGTAGGTGAGCCAGCGAAGCTCCTGTGCAGCCATGGCCCCAGCGTAGATCTCAGCCTCACAACTGGAGCCGAGAACAGAAGACGAGCGAGTAGCCCGCCACGAGACAGAGCCGGAACCAAGGCTGAAGGTGTAACCCTGTGACGACCGCTGCGTAGCCTGGTCGTCAGCCCAAGAAGCGTCTGCGTGCCCAGTGAGGACCACTGGACTGCGCCTTCCAAGCAATAGCCCCATGCCCGACGTACTGCACAAGTAGCGCAACACCCTCTTCGCTGCAGCCATGTGCTCTGGTCGGTGTCTCCCAGGAGCAACATAGCATGCGAGAATGCTAAGAGGGTATGCAAGGTCAGGTCGTGTGCAGGTCATCATGTCAAGAATAATATATATTTCTATATATTGTTTTGTAACTGCCTGTAGTGTAGACTACTGTAGTTATATGATGTTCTGTTTGGTGGTGCACCTTTCCTTCTTGCCTATTTGTACTCCTCGCTCTATAGTGAAACCCCTCACTTCTCTTTTCAACTTTCTCGACTTACCTAAACTCACTCGAGCTCGATCTCCTCTCTCAAGTTACCATGGCTCCTAAGCCTAACTCTTCCTAATTACTTTCACACATCAGGTACATGAGGCAGCCAACAAGCTCTGGATACGGGCCACTCGACTCTACGGACTCATCCGAAGGCAGAGCTGAGAGCGAGTGGCGAGTAGGCAGAGGAGTGGCCTGAGGCGAGGAGTACGTGAAGCTGAAGCGCTGAAGGACCTGCTGCACCATGTGTGACTGAGTCAGGATGATGGTGCAGCGTGCTCTGTCCCGGGTGATCTGCAAGCCAAGGTAGCTGCGCAGTTCACCCAGGTCGGTGCACGTGTGTCTCTTCTGCAGCTCGGACTTCACGTAGGCGAGTCCAACATTGTCAGTTGTGGCAAAGACCAAGTCGTCGACGTACATGAGGATGTAGAACGGCGGCAGAGAGGTGTCGGTGCGCAGAAACAGCGACGGGTCGGCAGTAGAAGGAGCAAACCCAAGAGCCGCAAGCGTAGTCCTCAGTGTGTCGTGCCACTCACGTGGCGCCTGGCGGAGACCGTAGACTGGACGCCGGAGACTCCACTGAGTACCAGGAGGGAACGACCCAGTGAAGCCAGGTGGGCGGCGCAGCCAGATCTCCTCGTGCAGGCTGCCCTGCAAGAAAGTTGTGCTGAAGTCGAGAGAGTGCAGCTCGTAGTCACGGTGAGCAGCAACGTGTAGCAGTACCCGAAGAGTGGTCATCTTCGGGGTGGGAGAGAAGGTCTGAAAGTAGTCAGCTCCTTGCCGCTGACTGAAGCCACGAGCCACGTACCGTGCCTTGAAGACAGGCGGAGAACCCGGCGACCGCTTCACCCTGAAGATGCACATGCCACTGACGATGTTCGCCCCAGGCGGGGGAACCTCGTCAACGTAGGTGCCTGTGGACTTCTAGGAAGCCATCTGTGTGTCCATAGCTGCCTGCCACTGAGAGGAGTAGGGACCCTCTATCGCCTCCGCGTAAGAGCGCGGAGTCGGGATGTCAAGTGCATACGGGTCTCCCTCAGGGGTAAGCAGTACGGACACGAGATGAGGTGAAGCAGCAGCCAGACACTGGAACTCCTCCTGCCTGTCCTCAAGGACGTCCGTGCCAAGGGCACACTCACCCCTGACGGAGGGAGGACAGACAAACTCAGACTCAGCGACAAGACTAGCAGCGTAGTCTAGGCGACAGCGAGCAGCAAAGTCGACGAGCTCAGCAACTAGGGCAGACGCAGCAGTTGACTCGAAAGAAGGGTCAGTGACGACAGTAGCAAGGAGACGCGTGACAGTAGGACTGACAGCACGAAGAGAGTTCGACTCCGGGTCGGCAAGAGCAGGAAGAGAGGACCCAGGAGGAGAAGGCAAAGGGGCACACAGAGGAGCAATGGACGGACGCAGAGACATCCTGTGTGTGCCAGGGACAGGAGCAGGACACTGACGCGAACCATGACCACTAGTGCGAGCAGCACGGACAGGCGACGCAGGGCGAGACACAGGCTCACGAGGCTCAGCAAGACCTCCAGTAGGACCAGTGTAGGGAGAAGGAGCAGGCAAAGGGGAGGTAGGCTGCAACTGCAACTATGACGGGACAGGCTGTGGACACTCTGAAGACGGAGGAGGACCAGTAGAAGGCGGAAGACCAAGAACCTGCTGCAGGAGTGGAACGAAGTACGGTCGAGGCCGGGCGGCGACGCCAGACACAGCAGGGACAGCACTAGTACCCCCAGCAGGAGCACCCTCTCCAGCAGCACCTCCTGCAGCTCCAGAACCTCCAGTAGCACCAGTAGTACCCCTAGCAGGACCGCCAGCAGTGGTCTCAGCTCCAACACCCTCAGTAGCACCAGCTCCAGTCGAGCCTGCAGGCCCGGCAGCTCCAGAGCTCCCAGGACGAGCACCTCCGGGACCCGCGACAACAGCACCCTCAGTAGGCGAAGAACCTCCAGCTCCAGAAGCACGTCTCCAGCGCCGGGCAAACCACTCGCGCAGCTCCTGTGGAGAGAGTGGCTCCCGCACAGACGAAGCACCCGGAGAACCTCCAGGCGGAGCACCTCCAAGCTCAGCACCCCCAGTCTCAGCACCCCCAGGTGTAGCACTCCCAGGCACAGCACCCCCTGGCGTAGCACCCCCAGGCACAGCACCCCCAGACTCAGCACCCC